CTCCAACATATTGTTGACTGACAGTAATATATTTCTGGGTTGGGTGATCACGATACTGAGCGTTCAGATATCTATCCTTATAAGTAGGTTTTCTGTAAACGCTGGGCTGTGTTCTCTGTAACAGATGGAACAGTTTTCTTCCATCTCCATTATGAAACTAATATCCGAATTATTGCATTGATATGATCTAGAAATATTTCTTTGTTATATCAATGTATCCGAGTCAACACTTTAGTTTTACATTTGCTGATTTTAAGACTTTGTTTTCGAATGCTTCCTAGTCAATGTCTACATAAAAAGCGTTTGAGAAGAAAACTTGACATCAGCAAATCTAAATCTAAGGTGATAGTTCAGATATGCTGACTTCGCTGTACTGGAATCTATCAAGAATGAATAACACCCTAAAGCACAACATTTACAGAAACTCAACCTACATGGATACATATCTGAACACTGAGTTTCACCAATATTCGGCTCAGAAACAGTGTGGTTTCAACGACTTGGTGCATCGAACATGCACCATCTGAGAACTAAAACACTTGGAAATGCGTCACCTATGTCAAGTTCTGAGAGAGAATGGACAGAAAAATACTGAAGAAGCTAGGATACACGAAGACACATTATTAATATCATCTACGTACATCTAACAATAAGACGATATAATGAACAATGTGTTCCAAAGCCCCATAGTGTCTACAGCGTACAACACAAATATTACCTAAAGAATAACTATAATGAACCCAAATAGTATGAAAGTTCTGATAATAGAAAGAAGATTTTCCCAATTCTCCACAGAGAAACGCTAGAAGTTCAGAAAAATCAAAACAATTTTACTGATTCGAAGATTTGGAATTACTTGGAATTTGGAAAAGAAATACACCGGAACTTCAAAAATCAAATACAGCAAATAATATTATTAGTGAAACAGTTTCTACTGAATAGAAAATTATTCTGTGGGATATTCAAGAAATCTAAACTGACGATGTAGCAATTAACCAGAAAAGTTTTGAATTATTGTTTATTTAATTTAAGTCAGGAATGAATTGCATTATAAATCCATTTGTAATTTTCAGAAGAAAAATGCTTGTAAAAGTGTTTGAAATAAATTTGAAACTTAATATAATAATTTGATTTGTAAAAATTTTTGACACAATATTGGACAAAGTTGCAAAATCTTCATATGGCCCATGGTCTAACCTAGGAGTTAATGTAGATAATATTTTAACTAAAACTCTGGAATAAAAGTTTGGAATAAAGGCGAAGTGAGAATAAGTCAACAAATTGTTAATTAAAAAATTACTCTTATATTCAGAACTTCTTATCTACCATATATCCTTATATATGAAAATAGTATTTAAAAGTACTCATGCGCATAATCTATTTACATCAAGTATACATTAATTAATTAAATTCTTCCGAAACCTAGCTGTTCAACGTACTCTTCAAAAGCATATTTGGTTCTCGTCCGGAGTTTCACTCTATTAAAACTTGCAGTACGTGTGCATTAAGTAATATGCTGCACTTCTATTTAGCTAATAAATTGTATGCATAACTATTAAAGGAGAACAAACTTCAAGATAGCAGAGTACCTACAAATTAATGATATAATATTTTAGTTGTAAATATGTTCCCTTATAAATATATTAATAATTTTGAAAATATTTTGTAATTAGTAGAATACCTATGTGTTTATGTTTTGTTACATATACGCTGAAAAAAGAAGATAAGTAATTTTACATTATACTTAGGTATATCATGAAAATATCTTGAAAAATATTAGCTAGTTATACCCAGTATTAACATACATTTAGGACTCATTTAGGCTATCAGCGTAAACACGCTATCGCACTGTCACTACACCGTTGATTAAATACTTAGTTGACGTGACTCTTGCATAGTGAATGTAACTATCGCACTTGCTATCATATACACCGTAAGGCCGCTTGTAAACGATGGTTTTTTAGCCGTTTGTAAGCCCGATGAATCCACCGTAGATTCATATTCATTGACCGTTCTGGAAGTGTGTTCACACACCGGGTGACAACGGTCGTCGTTTACAAGCGGCCTTACAGTGTGATAATACGCATGCCGTCACCTGCTGAATTGTGGCTATATTTGACTACTGGCACAAATCAGTAAGAGTACTATTACGTTAAGCCTTTTAAATTTGCAGTTCTATGAAATTTAGAAATAATTTTACAGAAAATTTTTATAAACACTGCAGCATATTTTTTATTAAAATTGTACCGCTTGTACTACTGACAACAATTAACCCCGTTTACATGTAGTTACACTGATTCTTTTCGCAGTGTAATATTTGTTCCGTCATAATGCTCGTATGTGCAAAATCAATGAACTGGGAAACTGAGAATCTATCTATAATTAAGTTAACCTACATTACTAACTTATTTAACAACGATTCATATATGCTTCTATAGTAGTTTCATTCTATGTATATGCAGTAATAGTGAATTCTTTGCTGTTAAGTTGTAGGATAAAATTGCTGTGAGGTATGATTGACATATGTTGTAATTGATAGAAACTTGTAGTTCCTAAAATCATAGTACATTATAATATGTAATGTGATACCAAAATCCGTTGTATCAATAAAAAATTATTTAGATTTTCTCTTACCGTATTCCAATATGATAAAACTTTAAATATACTTTCGCATCTTCATTCTTGAGGTACTGCAATTTGAGTAGAGTTCATTAATAGATATACTTATGAAGTATACTAATTCTAATTCGAAAATTTTACTGGCACTACTCTGCAATAGAAAGCTTTCTTAATAATTGCAAAGTTTATTTCCCACATTTCAATTTTATTTGTATTTAGAATTAAAAATGACATTTAAAATATGTATAAATTACTCTAGAGGTCAACATGGCTTGAACCAAATTTGCCTAAATTTTGGGAATATTAAAATTGGTAGTTTAAAATTTTTGTTTACAGTTTTAATTTTATACTCATCTGTAGAGGACGCTAATTAGACCTTACAATAGAATAAATAAAATGTCATAATATGTTTGTACTTCACATGTGGATAATTTGAAATAACAATAAAAAATTGTTGAATTATGGATAAAAATCAATCAACTCCTACATTTTAATATGTTAAGAGTACGTAAAAATATAAATATAATGTAAATTAATTAAGATAATGTGGAATTCGAGATTTTCTTATAAAGTAAAGAAGTAAAGTTCTAAAAACATTTATTTTATTACTGAAATACTTATTTAGATAATTACACAGCCCCATAAAAAAAGTGGGAAGTCCGAAAGACAAGACCATGTATTGGGGTCGTTGAATCCGAATCCGGTATGCGTTTGAGCCGATTACCTCTGGGTTAAGGTCAGTTCAAGGTCAAATGTAGAGAATCAGTTACCAACAAAGTAAATCAATATATCTATACGTTCTTTGGGTCGCTGAATCCTAGTCGGGTGTCCATTTGACCCGAGCAGGTTTGGGTTAAAGTCAGTTCAAAGTCAAATTTAGAAAATCAATGTCCAACAAAGTAAACCAATCAATCTGTACGTTTTCGGGGTCGCCGTATCCGAATCTGGTGTCCGTTTGACCCAATCAAGTCTGTGCTAAGGTCAGTTCAAGGTCAAACGTAGAGAATGAATTGCCAACAAAGTATACAGACATATCTACACGTTTTTGGAATCGCTAAATCCGAATCCGAGATCCGTTTGACTCGATGAGGTCTGCCAATATTATCAAGTTCTATACTGAAAATACCCAGGTTAAGCATTTATGCGTATTAAAATATGAATAACAAATAAGATTAAAGAAATAAAGCTTCAACTCTGAGCCCGTGACTCTCGAGTTAATTTTTTTGACTCATAAAATCACTATATCACAATATTATGACTAGACTACTACTCACTTTTGTGGTATCGAACTATTTTGTTGTCAAAAGATCTGCGAAGTTTTCTCGATTTTAATGGTATATCTCGTTTTAACGACCAGTAGAAACCCGGCTAACATATTTATATCCCAGCTGCCTTGGTACCGACGCTCCTTTCCCTTAATATATTGGTGAAATTTTTATCCCTGCTCCTCACTGTAATCATCCTTTTCTGGGAAATAATTCGCATAAGAATGTAAAAAATGTAATTCGAGATTCATTAAGCAGCCTAGGTTTTTAAAACTTTCTTTCGGCACTATTCCTTTATAGTTTGGACTCTTTCTATTTTAAAAAATTCCCAATTAGTCCCTTAAAAATAATCATTCTGCTTTCTCGTTTTCATTTATTTTAGTAACAAAAATTGTGAACCTTTAACATCTTATGGATCTGAGGTCCACCAAAAATCCCTTACCGCAATTTCGCATCACTCAAATTGGAGAAGCATATACCATATTTGTTTAAAGCTTTTATCTATTGTTTCTTGAGTCCTAATTTGATATACAGAGGTGTAATAAAGATTTTTGATAGATCAACGAAAATATATCATTTGAAATTGAACATAACTTACCATGATCCTAATTTTCTTTCAAGAAGTACCCACAAAATATAATAATGTTTCTAAATATTTTTACAATATTAAAATATATCAAAATGAAATAAAAGTGTTCTACACAGGAATTTTATATTAGTTCCTATTTAACATGCAGTAACAAGTAACATTGTTTTTATCTCGAAAATAATTGGATCATTGGATCATTTTTGACAATTAATTCAGTTCTTATTACTTTTTATCATGGGTCATGTTCTACCAGAAATGGTTTCTCGAATATTACAAAATTTAAAAATAAAGTTAAAATTTGACTCCCTCTATTTGGAATGGAGGAAACATTTGATTAATGTATGCTTGGCTGAATCACTTTAATATGACCTTATGAATTTTACATTAGTTTCCAATGCTTACATAAGTATAAGTGAGAATTTTGGGAATTTAGTATCTAGCTATTTCACCTTTATCTTTATGAATTGAACTAATGTCAGGACCATTATTACTAGAATAAACTTATGAACTTTTTGTTTTGTTTTCAGGACTACAAACTCAAACACATGGCAGAGATGCAACAGTCGGTGGTAGGCGACTCGGATGCTCGCCAGCAAATCGCTAACCAGGTAGTCCAATGGGAAGAGAACCTCGAGCGGCTGCACTGCGAACAATTCCGGCTTCGGTGCTACATGGCTAGCCTTCAAAGCGGAGAACTGCCCAACCCCAAGGTGAGTAAGAAATTGACATAAAGAATATTGTGCAACAATAAAGAAATAAGGGCTAAATAATTACAATGGTGATATGCCGCTGGTGTAAAAATTGGAAAAAAAAAACAATTAATTAAATTAATACATTCAGACATTACCTTCACTTCAACATGGTGATGGAAAAAATGGTACCCTGCTTTTTCACACATCCTTGTCAAGAGGAAACCCTAGAGTATAGTGTTTACAGGAAGTGAATCCACACGGACAGATATCTGAACGCAGAGCATTATCACCGCCCACCCTAGAATCAAGGTAATGTCAACAATGTATTGGAATATAAAAAAATTTAGCACCTACGATCAACTCTTAGAAGAAATGGATATCGAAATGGCACATTGAATGGACTATCAAAATTATACTTAAGAATAAGGAAATAAGTATATTAATGGACAAGATATATATCTTACAGAAACACAATATTTTTACCATATGTTTATAGCACCCCTTGCTCATGCGAAAAAAGTATACATTGAACAAAGGGGAGAAACTTAGCATGAGCGACAGATGCAGAATATCCATTAGACTTAACTAATACCATCATTGTGGTGTATAAGAAAGAGATTCTGATTACGATAAGAGGATAACATGAATTCAAAAGAATCGAGATAAGTTCAACTTACAACCAAGACAAGGGGTTAGAACTACCAAAAATTCGGAAACGAAAAATTAAATATTGTTTGAAAGACATTAACTTTTGCAGAATACCGATCAGACGAATAAACTCGGAAGAAAGCTGAATACTGTTCTGCAACTTTTTGTTGTTTTTTATTTCATTGGTTGCATGCAATTAATTCACGCTTGAATTTTTAAGCTTTGCTGATTTTTTAAATACTTTCCTGGTACTTAAGTATTCCGAAAAAATGATACGTTTGTCTTTTCCAATACTATAAAATAAACATAAAAACATTTGTGCGAAATAACTTTCTTAGGATCAAACCGTTTCAATTTGGTTTCAGGATGGTTATCAAATAATTTCGGTAGTACTGAAGTATTTAAATAAAATCTAGTTTTCATTTAACTTTTTACAAAATAAAAGAAGTGCGATTTAAAATTGTTGGTCCAACCAAAGTTGCAGAATGACCTCATAACGTGTGAACAAAACAATATCTGAAAATATGAATATAATAAATGTATTAATTTACACCTTGATGGAATTTTACTTTAACTTTGGAAAATTGTTTAAGGTCACTTCAAAAAGTATTTCTTAGAATACGGAAATACGTGACTCTTAGTTCAAAGTTGAGCTATAGCTGGGAACAAAAATAGAATAAATTTTTTTGGAAGTGTGAAATTTTATTTATTTATTTTTTAATTCGTACAATTTGGACAGAACATTTTTGTTTTTATTTTTTTAAATACCTATTTAACTTGTTTCAGCATATCTAGATATTCTATATGAAAAAGTATGCATTAGAAAATTTAGGAAATTTTTTAAAACTAATGAAAGTTTGAATTCATTAATACCTTTAAGATAAAGTAAATATAGAGCGAATACGGCCTAGCGACTTGTCATTCATGTCATTGCTATGAAAAGTCAAGCAACGTTGATCGCGGGTAGTACTTGTACGTCGATGTTCTCAGGTTGGGGGTTGCTCGTCTCCTGGCGTCGATGTTTAGTCATAGTAGCAGAAATAAGCCGACATAAAAAATCAAAAAGCTAAAAAGTAACGTACCTAATAGTAATGGTAAACTTCGACCCAAGATGGAAATGTAAATAAAGTATGTCTGATCCAATTTAAGTCGGTTCTTTTATGGGTAGACCATAAAACTATGGCTATAATATGACTACCACGTCTCATAACATTTGATTTCGTATTTATGAAAACCTACTTATTAATTTTTTCATTGTCAAATTTGAACAAACCACGTTTTCTTTATTACAATATAAGGTGTAGCCTTAGCTTAAGGTAAAAGAGGTTTATACAAAAAATATTTTTTATCAGTTTATTTGTTTAAAATATCATTTATCACTTGTTTTAAGTTATAATTAAATAATATATCCACTTAGTAACTATATTTAAGGTATCTAGGATGTATATAGGATACATTTAGGGTGAGTAATAATACGTTAATCTAAGGCATTACTATCCTGTAACACCCGTAGTAGGTACTTTTAAAATCTAGTGCCCACTATTCTGTTATTTAATTCAATTTTTTTACATATAAGTAGTATGATAATTGTTTGACATTAAACCTGTAAGTAGGTATTGTTTGTTAAATCTACTCCAGAACCTTATAAATATTTAGGTATAACATGGTATTGTTTTATTTCTCATTTAATTATTCATCACATTACATATAATATGATCGCATAATTTGAATTTAAATATATTTCCAAAACAACATTTTATTGGTGTACTTAAGTTAATTTAGGTCGTTTCATCGATTCAGAAAAATTAACCATTAATATTCATTTTTCCATTAGCAATAAATATTCCTACAGGAAATCTAATACCAACACATTTTACGAGACGCTGGATTTAATGGTGTAGTCAAATTTTAGATTAAAAAAATTACATAGAAACTTTATTCAAATTAGACAATGAACAAGTAGGCTCTGATAATTATGATAAACTTATGAGAATTTATGTTTTATTTTTCAAAAAAAGCTCGAATCATATATATTTTTCAAAAGGTGGGTAAATTTCAAATGTGCCACGCCTTTAATAGCTTGTACTGAACCTAAGTATGTACAATTTTTATAACTAACCCTTTAGTTATATTTTTTCTCAAAGGGACAAATAGTTGGTACTTTGTACTTTGAATATCAACCAATCCCCCATTTATTTAGCCTAATTTTCTGTGTATATTAGCCGATTCTCTTACAAATAACCAAGACCGCCGCGCCGCGCTGGCTCTAAAGTTAAAGCGTACATTCAGAGCCATGTTTGTTATATATGGCTTGGAAAGACATATTGTCTACCCCCATTATGTATTGTTTGATATATTGCTGGAAATGATCGCATCTCTTCATTATCCGCATATAGCACAATAGTTCTCGCGGTATTTGTGAAAATACGGACTGCCACGCCTTCCAAGAATCCATTACCTTATTACCAAGCCGTTGTAAAGAAATATTAGACACAAACGTTTTTAATACATTTAGTTACATTACGTATACCTACTGGATAGGAAAAATTGTGTTCTAAAAATACTAATTTTTATCGTTATTGCTTTCTGAAGCGAATAAAAAACATATTGTATACATATACCTACATCAAACATCAGTTCATCTTAATGTAGTATTCATTGTTTACATTAGATAAAAAAATTAAATCTAAAATAAATTAAATAAAAATAAAGAAACATTATTTGTACAAAAATCAGATACGATTATTTGTATTTTATTCGTATTTTACTTCAAAATATGAGAAATTCATGTATCAGTTTATATTGGCATATAAAAAGCCAAAACATTTGAAACCCGAAAAAAATAATATACGGGGTGATTCACAACGTATCCAAAAAATTTGGGAATAGATGCGTTATGAAAAATGGAGTCAATATCATAGAAAAATTTTTGTAAAATCCTTACAGTTTCCGAGAAAAAAATTATTGAAGTACTAGTATTTACAGCCCTTACATCGCTGGACTATTGTAGTCTCCAGCGTCATTCGCGTTGTACGCTGTACGCAATGCGCTCTTTTTCCGATCTTGGTATTAACGTTTTTGCGATAGTGTTTACATTAGTTTTTCAAGTGTCAAAAATGACTTACGTGTATAGCAACTTGGAGTTCATGGATATCCTTCTAATTTATGAAGTAAGACAACATTTGGGTTATGGTGGAGAATTTGTGTTATGGTGAAGCAAGACAACATTTGTATTAGTTCGTAGGAAGTGGTCAAGAAGGGCCCAAATCTGTTTACATGGCGGTAGACAAAATTTTGAACAATTGTTGCAACATAAGATATGTCAAATTATGTTATTAATTAAAACCACAAATTAACTTAATTAATTAATAATAAAATAATTGTTATAAAATTTATTTCTTTCCTTAGGAAAGAAATTCTTTTAATTTTTGTCTGTTCCTTTTTTCGCCGACTGCATGCCTTGCGCAAGGTCAGGTTTTACAGTGGAGCAGTTTCCAGTGCCGTGCAGAAGTGTATTTTTAAATTTATTTCAAACTGCCATTTATTATTTTTTTACAAAATTGTGTTTGTAAGAGTCTGTACATTCAAAAATGTTTTTTGGATAAATTCTGAATCACCCTGTATGTTGAAATGTTTCAATGGAGTTTAAACTTTCTATAGTGATATACATTTGACATAGATAGTACATTGAGACAAAACGTTTCCTATTTAAGTGAATACGTAATTTTTTTTGCAAAAGTGATGCTGATTTTTAATATTTCCACATTCAGTTGCACAAAATATAATTATTTGGAGTCGTATTGAATATTACAACCTTAAAAATGTAATTTTTTGTGCATCTTTGTAGATCTCAGGAGCATTGGCCACTGGATGTAGCTCTGTCACATCTCTTATTTGAGTTGTGTAAACTTAAGTGTCTCTATTTTTTAAAATGGGTATTGTCAAGTTATGATGATAATACAAATATGTACTTCAAATATCACGTTGCCTGTAAATAAAACAAAATGTGGTTTATAAAATAATTCCTATTTTCCATTATAATTTTTAAGGCCCCTTATCTCGAAGAAGAAGCGTTTTTGGAGTAATTGTATGAACTTTAACACTGAAAGTGCAAGTGTGTTGGAAATTTTTTTATAGTATCTAAGTTACGAAAACAATAGAACATAACCCGATGTACAAAGATATAGGACTTACATATTTTCGTCAATAGAAAACTATATATTATATTTATGAATATTTAAAAAGAACGTTGTCTTTCGATGAGAATGAGTTTGAAAAGTCTATCTATAATAATAAGGGATGCATAGTCTTAAAGAAGCAATGATATAAGGTTTCGTGTGACTATCTCTAATAATAAGAGAGGTATGGAGATGATCAAAACAGTGTAGCAGAAGTATAATTTATAGGACAAAGACTTGACAAGGTTTGAAAAAAAAATAAAATAGAAATTCCCACGGTTAAATAGAATTTCATTTGTTTTTAATTAGGGTTCAATCAAAATACAATAGTAAGTGAAATTTGTCCATCCCAGCAAATGCAAAGTAAATTCGTTTTAGGCACTTGAATTAACTGGCGGTTTTCCATCGATTCCATGAAAACGAATTACTGAAAACCGCATTACAGAGGACGTACCAACGTAATAAATTTTATTTGTCAACTAGATTTTAGGGCCGTGACAAAATGGAAAAGTATTTATGTTGGGCAGATGTATGATGCGCTATAAATAAAACTGACATCGATGTATAGCGAATATAAATTCAAATTTAAAACTATTGAATATCTTTACAAGACAATAACAATAGGAAGTAGTTATATTATGAAATTATTGGATTGGATAAATTTTTACAAAATTTCAGAAATCTTGGATTATTGACATACATCTTAAGATTTTTCTAATTTTAAAAACACCTTTATACAAACAACACGCCGAAAATGAGGAAAGTATTATTTTGGCACTTAGGTATATGCCTTTCCTACGAGAGGGGCAGATCCAGCCAAATTTACCAAATTTTCGATGTAAATATGGTTCCAAATACCTACTCCCGATACAGTTGTTTGTGACAGTGTTCCGTGGCAGTTATAAATGGTTGAACAATTTCTGGGCTGGTTACCACGTCATCAGTCATATCGCTCTCTTCTTCATAAGAAATTCAGAAACTGGGGATTAAATCTTATAGTCAGTATTTATATTTTTGTTGTGCGTGCTAGTACATATCTTTCCCTTACTTAGTTTGAAGCCACTAACCTGTGACTTCCGGGTTTTCCATTTTTACCTATGAGTCATTTCCAAATTCTAGGTGATCGTCCCCGTTCTGGAGTTCTATTGCTATTCTGTAGAACCAAACCAAAATTTTCTGTCTCATTAGTATTTTGGTATTTAGGCTATTCCGAGTCCTGTACTCCGCATCTGCTGATTTATTTCCAATGTTACTTCTTACACTTGTATTCCGTTAAACTTATTCCAACATGTCTCTCTGTTTATCCCATTGCATTGCATTTGTATTCAGCATTCCATGTATATGGAATATGGAATGCTGAATACAATAAGACTTTGGTGTACATCTCCCTTGCAGCTTGTTTTGAAAAGGGTTATGTTCCATGACTGGTTGAAGATGGTCTTGATGTTGTGATTTTCTATGAAGCTGGAATAAAAATCTAGGGTCCTTCCGACCCTAGATACCCTTGTCTCCTCAGAAATCCAAGTATGAGAACCTATCCACTTCAACCTAGTGAGCGAACATCGGCTCCTCATAGAGATAATGGAAACTGTAGGGGCGTGCATCACGTTGTGAACATGGCCTTATATCAATCCTCCGTACTTCGTTTTCCTAAATGCCCAAACCTCTAGAATCGTTACACCAGTTTTCGTTATACTGATAGACCGACAACCATAGTGAATGTCACCACCATTCAACCCAGAAACATGGGATCGTCCAACACCTTAGCAAGCACCATCTGCGAGTCAGAACACATCACCCTCGATCAGATGGATAAATATAAAATTAATACATACTTATACATTTACATTAAAATTAGTTACATATTTATGTCAATTTTATAGATGTTTTTATCAAGTTCATGTTAGTAAAAGGCAACATTTTGTTTACCAAGGTTAGTAGTGAAAACTAAGAGAAAACCAAATATTTTATAACAGAATTCTGTATTTAGATAAATATATTCCTTTTTACTTTCAATTCTCTCTGTATCCTTTGTTATTCTGTGCTTCTTCTTTCATTCCTTCTCATCTTATTATCAATTCCTCTGTTTCTTCTCGTATTCTATCTTCCCATGTTTTTTCGGGTCATCCTCTTATATTTTCTCGTGGTACTTGAGTTTCTTATAATCTCTTTGTTAGTCTGTCACTTGTCATCCGAAAACCTTAAATGTCCTTCACTATTTTACCTGTTATGGGTTCAATCTTTAAAATATGTCATTTCTTATTTAGTCCCTTTTAGTTCTATTTTCTATGCGTCTCAAGAATATGATATCCATTACATTTGGAAGTAATCTGTGCGTTTCTGTCATGAGTGTCATGATTTGTGATTCACTGCTTATTGTACGTTATTGTGGGTATTGCTATTTTTTTTAACCGCTTCGATTTTTACTTTTCTTAGAATTTCTTTTCTCCCTGTAAATCTCGTTTTGATCGTAGGGTACACCTTTCCTGTTTTTTCCATTCCGTCGTTAATTTACTCGTTTATTCTTCCGTTACTGGCCCAAATATTAAAATAATCTACTTGCTCAATTTGCTTCCGTTGTAATCTTATATGCTTTATTTTCGCTTAACATTATCAAGTTTTGTTTTTTTTTTCTACATATTTTAATCTTCATGTTTATTATACTTAAATTTCCTTCCAGAACTTCTAAATTATACTGTCACCTGCTTTCTGAAACTGCCCCCATACCTATGTTACCTAAGGAGGTAACTTCATTTTCCTAGTTTTAACTTTATCTAATTGTAAAACGGCTGAAAATAATTTCTAAATAAATTTCTTTGGTATTTCCTTCACCCTCTGTTGGTCCTATATTGGACCAACAGAGGGTATATAGTACCTAATATAGTATTATTAGGTACTATTTATTGTTTCCCTGATAAATAATAAAACTATAACAATCAAATATACTTCAGTAACAGTAAGAGTAAAGATTTCAATGAAAAAAGTAATTGGCGCTTGTTCCTAAGCAGTAACTTGTATAAGTAGTACTAGTTTCGACAGTAAAGGTAAAACCTTCATTAACTAAAATGAGCCATTTGTTTCAGTCCCTGTTAACACACGTATCGAGAGCAACGAAGAACACCTTAAACAAATTAGGAGTATTTACCGTGTCGTCGTTTCATGCCTTTATTTGTGCTAGAAGTCCTTCCTTGCTTAACAATTTACTGGCTGGCAGGGGAGCCACCAAGAGGAGACCACCCATGCTGTCCAGATCCAACAGTGGCTCGAGCAGGAGATCGTTACAGGTGAGTGACTAATTAAAATTTACAGAAAACGTTCTTTTTATTTATCTATTTAAGTATTCATTATAGATTTAGTTCTCTTCTAAGTAATAGTGTCTTTTAAACTTAACACAACTGTTAATGTATTTATCCAAAGAAAAATTCTGAACACAAAAAGTCTACTTCTATATCCCTATATCTTTTTCAATCATCTGATACTATTATTTGCAATAACCAACGGGCAATTGCGCAATCACATGATAAAGAAGAACAAGGGAGATAGTAAAAAACAGTATTTAACTAAATCCACAAATTAAACAAAATTTAAAAAAAGATAGCAAATTAATAAATTACAAACTTATACATAGAGCATCAGAAAATTAAATAAATAAACAGACAAGAACTAACAGTAAATATACTAAAAACATTAAGGCCCGGTACTTTGAGTTTCGGTTAAAGCTTGATTAACTGATCAGGCGATTAGACTGTGATTATACTTATAAAATAAAACAGAGTATGTACAGTCTAATCGCCTGATCAGTTAACCAAGCTTTAACCGAAACTAAAAGTACCGGGCCTAAATATGATAAAATTAATGAAGTAGGTACATTATCTAGCAATTCAAATTAAAAACTATTTGAACCATTATTTCATATGAAAAACTTAGGCTATAAATTCGATTTGCAATGTGCTGTTTCTTTCTAACTAAAGAGCAGTAGTGCATCATCCCTGCTAGTTAGAATTTAGTTGAAGCAGTTTGCTACTTGAATGATCAAATTTATATTTTTAGCTCTAAAATCTTACTCATTTTGTTTGTGTCTTACATTTCCCTGCCGTGATTGATAATGAGGCTATTTGAAAGAGACAGCACATTCTTTGTTCTCAATATTAGACATTTGCCTTTTTTTACGCAAATGCCTCAATCCTCAATTCATAACGCATTTCTTTGGGTGGTAAGTATCAATTTCTATGATACTTTTCAATCCGCCATAATGGGACTACCATTTTGGATTTAAGAATTTCTTAATTAAAGCCTTATATTTGTGATTGACGACTTTGAAACCCACCGAGTAACAAGTTTCAGCCATAATATGTTTGAATGCTTTTCCGATATTTACTTCGCCATATTGGATCCGCCATCCTTTATTAAAAAATTTCCGGATTCGGACTTCAGATTCGTAATCAGCGACCCCAAAAACCCGCGATAACACATTTCAGGCAAAAATATTGAATAAAACGTGTAATTTAAAGGGGTAGGTAAGACTCTGGTCGGTAGGTGGTTTCCAATACTTTGAGGGCAGTTATATTATATTTTTTTGGTATGTTGTCCATCAACCTACATTTATACAGGGTTCTTCAGAGGAACCAAAGACAATATAACTCTGAAATTTTGTTTACGAGGGTTATCAGATATGTTCTCTTCAATGAAAATAATGCCATCAACGTATCACTTCCGGTTATACCGGAAGTAGTTGTCAACTTCGTTATTTTAAACGGAACATCCTATATATTATTGCATTGTCGACGAGATAAATTAAAGATAAGTCAAAATTGTTAAAGCTTCCCTGTACCTAAATTTTCGAAAAAAATCCACATTTTATATAAATTTTGCCAGATGCAAGCGTTTCGAAAATTGCTTATATCTTTCTTCGTTCTGGACGCTTTCACTTGCTTTTCGAAATACACAAAGAACAAAAGATCCATTACTTTCCCCTATCAAAATTACCTGAAGAAAATTATACTAAGTGTCCCATTTTTCACGTTACATCTTGAAAACTTAAAACCGACAAAACTTTTTATATTCAAATAGAACACCCTGTATCTTTCTGCATCATATTGTAGAAAATCAAATTCTCGTTTCACCGATATAGGCATTGTAGAAGTTACAGTTTCCATTTTCTCAGATATTTACGGTTTGCTTACATACTCAAGAATATTAAGTTAAAAATATCATCAAATGTGCCTAGAAAGGCAAATATTGACACTGTCATTCAGTATTCTACAAGTATCAAGTATTTGCTCGACAAGAAAAATGAAAAATAATTATCCTAATGAAGATATTTTGAATTTATTTTACATCCATTGAACATTCACCGTAAATCAAAATTATTAGCTCTATTTCTATAATTTGGTATTTTGCAACTGAAACAGAACAATTAATGAAATGATTTCGGTTGGTTTTCTTAGAATTTTTCTCTAGTTTTTAATGTTGTAAAAGTGTTTAAAAAATAGCAAAGACAATAAATAAGATAATTTCAAATAACTAGTAAATGTATTATTATAATTTTATGATATTTAGAATGAAGTTGAGAAGATACTATAATTTAAAATGTTGCATTTCATTGTTTTCTTAATGAAATGATTCTTATTTGTTCTTTATTGTACTAATAATAGTATCCCTATGAAAGGAAATCTTAGTAGGTATTATTTTTGTGTAAATATACCCTCTCATTATTTAAAAGATGCAACAAACGTGAAACAACGCACTTTATTAATGTAATCATGAAAAAAAAAATCAATATTCTACAAAGAACGTTATTGTATGTAGATGCAAAATACCAACTCATAGAAATACAGCTAATACAGATTCATGGTGAATCCCATGGATATAAAACAAATTCAAAACATCTTCATTAGAATAATTATTCTGCATTTTTCTCGTCGAGAAAGTACTTGATACTTGTAGAATACTGAATGACAATACTTGCCTTTCAAGGCACTTTTGATGATACTTTAACGTAATATTATTGAAAATTTAAGTAAACCGCAAATATCTGAGAAAATTGAAACTGTAACAGGGTGTTGCAGGGGTATTTATATCTACACCCGCCCACAGTCTATATTAGCGGAGATCTGTGGGTTTGCCGCCTGTTCCTTCTGTGAATTTTCATATCCATCGTTTCTTAGGCCTCCTAGGTCCCTTTTTCCTTTATGTTTATAATTGACGTCCGGTTTCGAGGGTTGAAACCCATCTTAAGACATCAGAGTGCTAAATATTACACCAGTGGTCACAAAATTATTTCCTTATTCCAGTTAAGGTTGCAACAGATTCTGGTTTATTTTTTAATAATAAAAATTCATTATTTTTCAGCTTTACATCAACAGCTACCCTCTAATTTCTACTTTTTTATGGTTCACGTCTTTAAAGCACAAAATTATAGTATCTACTGCATAAAAAATGAAAATAAATTCCGTAACTAATAGAATAAAAACCAAAGGATAATTCTGGTTTATTTTACCTAAATACAATAATTCACTCAAATCATATTTTGAGTGACCAATACAATTTTTCTTGTTTCTGTATTATATTCTTCTTTCTCTAACTTTCTTGGAAAGTTAATGACAAATTCTAAGAGCAAGATTTTTCACGTAAAAATATTCTACTTCTGTGTATCACTTAGTTTTTAATCACATAACACTTAAATAATTGTTTGATCAAATACGTGGTTAGACATTATTTTATGTTTTACATTTTTTAATATTATTTTCGCTGTCACAGTTTGTTAAGCAATGTTACGACAATATATGTAAATACACATTTAGATCAGTCAGGTTTTTGTATAAAACCTTAACAATCAAATTTAAGAAATTTCACATAAAAATTATTCTTCGAACACTTGTTTCTGCTGCTGATATTATCGGTCGATTTATTTTCTGGATATAGCAGTGGCAACCCTCATCATTTTTGTGTTCATCGGTTACTTTGCCAAGAATTCGATACGTCATCCAGCTAACAATTCCACAGGTGACCACTTACAGTTGTGACGTACTTCAGTGAGGAGTTTCGGAAATTTGAAGAGCTCAGAGACTCTTAAGAATGTTCTACGCAAAATATAAACGCGAAAAATGTTAAACACCGCCATAATACATCGTATTATACATAATGGTTGATAATAATGAACAATTTGGAACAAGGACTATAATCTGGAGCAATTTACGTACTCGAAAAAAAATGCACTTCTTTCGGAAAATGTATTATACGTATGTAGTAGGAAAATAATAATTATTATTATTGTATTTATTAAATAAGTAAATTAAATGTAATCATAATTGAAATACAATTAACATTGATAGTCGTCTTCATACAATTATTGTTTCCTTATATCTATTTGAATAGTCTAAATAAAAAACTTGTCTCGATTATTTGAATTTCAATTTTGCCCCTTAAAAATTTCAAAAAGTCGTCAGTGCTAACTGCAATTCAATATTAAATATTAAAAACTGCTAATTAATGTTTCTTTAAACATTTTCAATATACTTATACATATTCGTTTTCAAAGGTACATGTACTTAAATTTCATAAAATAGGAATGCTACGCCAACAGTGAAACGTTCAAAAATATACAAATAAATGTTGTTCTGACTTTCACCGTCTGCTGGGAAATATTAATACTCATGCAGTACAGGAAATCAAGGAATTGAAAGTGCCGTTTCATCAATCTTTCGCTATATAGTTATATATTACAGTAAGAGATAGTGACAAAGCCCTTGTCAACTTATTGTCTAGAATATTGGAAATCCATTACTTATTCAGTCCTGTATTGCTATGTATCGTCGAAGTGTATGCATGAAATATGCGCTCTTCACGAAGATGACAGGACCAAGTGATAAATATATTTCGTTAACGTACTCTGCTTTCATGTAAATCTTTCGGATTTTCCTGAACAGATTGCTATAAAATATATTTAAATAATACCTAATACAATTGTGAAACTCCAAATCAAACTGCTGTTTTCGATAAAACGTAAAAGTCAGATAAATTTTCTAATGCAGTTTAGTACATTAATTTCTATATACTTTGGTGGCAAAACTTTAAAGCTATTCTAAAATTTAAGCTAGAATTATGATATACGGTTAAGAAAAACTGCATTTAAAGAAAAGTTTGTTGGAAACTTTCTAAAGTGTTTGGTCTGTTATCTTCATCAGTACAAATTTCATCTTCTATTAAGTTAATCCTTCAAATATAACTTTAAATTTATCAAAGAAACGTGCAACATATTTTGATGTATTAGGCAGTAGAATTC